TTAACCTAATCGAGTGTAGTTAGCCAAAGAGCTGAATAGCTGCCAATAGCAATTCATAGAGCAACGCTTTAAGCCACTTTAAACTGTACTCTTATACAAATTACTCTAATTGCTAATGCATAGGATCTAATAAGTGGCTAATTTAGTAGCACTGCCTATATCATTTAGTTCAAGTTTAGAAAGGAGGAGATAAAGCGTGAATATGCATGTAAATACAAGTGCTTAGGCTTAAATGAATATACGTACGTTAATTAACTGTTAGAGAGGGGCTGCTGCTAGTTAGAGTCTGCGACTAGTTAAAGCGAGGCTGGCCAGGTAGAAGGCGCTGTAAGTAAAAGAGAGCAAATTGTTGGGCTTGATTAAGTGCGGAAGAATGAGGAGAGAAGAGCATTAATATTTCACATGTTGATGGGCTTTACATTAAGTATATATTAAATAAATCGAACAAATGTATGGACAATGAGTGGAGCTCAATGAAGACATTTAACATTTATATATATAGATATATCATTTATACTCAATGAAGACATTTAACATTTATATACATATATAGATATATAATTTATACCCATTCAAAACGAATCTAATTTACATTATTGAGTAAAAAGATTGAACCTTAAATTATTTATGTTCATCAAATAAAAATCTAAATTCATTATCTAATTTTTAATTATTTTGTAACTTAGATTGTATTAAAATATACATGTAATTGATAAACTGTACAAAAAGTTGGTAAGTGTATATAAATGTATGCTAAAGGCTTGGGTTTATCTAGCCATAAACTCGAATCTCTACCGCGAGCTTTTCTGTCAAACTATATTAACGAAATTCCTTCTTCCAATCGGTTCAAATTTTCTATTTGGGGCTTCTGTAAATTGGAAAACTTGTATAGTTTTACAGGGTTCAACTCATATGTTAGTTGATTGTTGAAATTAATAAACTTATCCATAAAAAAAATAAGAAGCTTACATAAGGAAATCCTTGACTGTGAAGGCTATTCAAATCTGTGTTAAACTAGCAACAATCGATCAAGCGAAAAGAATATATATATATAAACCGGAATAGGCATATTCTTTACATTGTTACTATATATTAGTTGAAATGCTGAATGAAAACTTGCAATAAAAAAATACAAAAATATGCAGGTTGTTATTAAATCTATTTAAAAATATATTATATATCTAATATATAATATTTACTTATAGAAATCTTCACCAAAGAGCATAGCTCTTGTATACAAGATCTCACATGCACTTGCCAAGCATATCTTACCTTCGCCTGCAGCTAATCCAATTAAGATTCTTTTGCTGCTCACTAACTGCTCCGCCATAGTTAGAGGAGGAAATGTAAATAATGAAACGCCACGACAAGATCAATGGGTCAGCTCGTACAACTGCGCTCGCAGTCACACCCGACGGTGGAGTGCGCGGTGCGGGGTGCGACGAGAACCACCTCAGGCGGGGGGCATTGCAGCTGAAAGTGCCACAATTTGCGAAATCGCAGCATGGCAACTAGCGCCAGCTTCGCCCGAAATCCCCCCCTCCGCAGCGACCTCAGCGACGGCGAGTGGGTTCCACTTGGCTTGCGATATTTCATTTCTTTATTAAGTCAATGTCATATTTTAGCGACAGTGGGCGCCGGTATCCTGGCTGGCTAGCTCTGCCTACCCCCGCTCCTCGCTCCTCCTCGCTGCTGCTGCTGCTGCTGCTGCTGCGCTCTGGGCGTGCTTGGTCAGTGGTTTTCGCTGTGGTTGGCTGTGGTGCACAGCTGGAGCTTGTTACTTTGATGTATTCGAGATGCTTTGTGGCGCGCGCGTTTATTTGTGGACGCGTCTGCTGCAGCAGCGGGACACCATTTGATGTGTGATCCGATCCGCACATTTCGGACATACCAACAGCCAGTTCATAAATAAATCTAAGCCGAGCGCTGTTTACACATCTAAGACGCAGTCATATCGAGCTACAAGACAAAGACAAAGACAAAGACAAACAAATAATTGAGTTTCGATTACCTATTAGCTTACAAACAAACACACACACACACTGACGCACACACACACACACTCACTCACTTGTAGCTAAACAAAAACCGAAAACCGAAACATTTGTCAAACGCTTGTCAAAGGCTGAAAAGCTTGTGGCATTTCGATGTGACAATGCATGAGTTCGAGCTACGATTGGGGCGACTCTGGTGCGGTGCGGTGCGGCGAGGTGCGGCGGGGTGGGGGCAGCCACGTAACCGCCCATTAGCCACATGCGCGCCTGCGTGACACATTGGCATCAATCAAAGTTTCACCCGTTTACTCTCTATGCGTGTGTGTGTGTGTTGTGTGTGTGTGTTGTTGTTAGGCATATGTGAGCTGGGCTTGGGCCCCTTTTGTTATTGTTGTTGGTGCGCGCCGCCTGCGTTGGAAAGCGCGTAAAAAGACATTTTGACAAATTCAAGTAGCGCCATCTACGCTCGGCTTTAATAGCTTTTATACTGCCTGTCACGATATTTCATCAGTCAAACGACCACACGATCCATACGCCACGACCGCCAGGCCACCAGACCACGGGACCACGACCAGCGTCAACAGCACACACACACACACGCACACACACGCGCACACAGACACATATGGCCGTCAAGGCCGGAAAATGTTGGGCGACACAGTAGCGCGAATTTTATTTGATGTTATTTCCATTTGAAAATGAGTTATTGGCGCTGGTAACAACCCCTAAAATCAGCACCCCGAGCCCCTTACCCAATCTATATATATATATATATATATGTATATGTATATCCTCACACAAACACGCGGAGCAGAGAGCAGGAACTCCGGGCGCGTGGGCGTGTGGGCGTGGGCGCGGCTGTGCGCATAAATTTTGGGTGCCAAGTGCTGCTCCCCTTTTGTTCGCAACAAACATCCCCATCCACCGCCCACACACACACACACACACACACACAGAGAGACATGCGTTCGTTCATTCGAATTGCGATTTCCTTTCATTCGCTTCTCCGATTTGATTTATTTTATTTGTTTTGTATGACACCCGCAAGTGCTGCTGCCCCAGCGGTATATTAATTTTGATTTTGTAGGCGTGGCTGGCAGCCAGAAGCGTTTAACTGCTTCCACAAACACACACACGCACACACACGCAGGCCTATAGAAATGTTAACTTGAGACATAATATTTATATTCCCACATCACGGACAACGGGGTGTGGTTAATCAAATAGACCTAATCACATATAACAGTGGGAAAATTACTGCGCTTTTCCTTTACGCTTTTCCTTTGTATCACTGTGTGTGTGTTGGCCAACACAAGTGGCCATTATCTTAGTTGACTCGGGGATTTGATTTAATGAGTGCCATTAGCTGCATATAATATATGTCTATATGCTTATCTTAACAAGTGTTTAATTCTTATTGAAATGCTGCTCAAGCAGCTGTATTTGAGTGTTATCTAATCGGACTAGCTTAGCGCTCCTATTCGACTGCCAATTGGGATTTATAATACATTTGTGTTTTATTATTTCAGGCTAATCAAAGTCTCATTCAAGTATATCTCCCCATTTAGTTATGTGCAGGCTCTTTCTTATATGCACATGGCTATAAATGTACGCAGACTCTGCTTGGGAGTGGGCGTGCCATCCCAGCTCCCAATTGGATGACTGATTGATGACGTGAATGAATGCTAGAGGTGTGATGAAGCAAATGCGTGCGAGTGTGTGCCACATTAGATATTCATGCGAATCTATATTGAGCATCCACATGGCGTGTGGCAGCGCGGGGTGGGCTCGGGTGGCACTCATTTGCCTCGGGGCCGCCCACTCGCTGTTGCCGTCTGATAAATCACATATTTTCGCTGATCAAATCAATCTAATTGACATCACTCAAAATGATGGCAGAAAACTTTTCACATTCGTTTTCGCAAAATAAAAAACAAAAATAAATGAGTTCAAAGTGGGAGTACGCCCCACCACCCACGCCCCAGGCGCTTTTTTGGCTTAATGGTGGCTATGTTTCGAGCCCGAGCGGTGCGTTCCACCAGCCAAGGCAGCCAGCAGCCAACAGCCAGCCAGCAGCAGTCAGCAGTTGCCATTACGCCGGAATGCCAGAGGATGGGAGCATGGCAGTACGCAACGTGATTTATTTTCATTTGGAAATCCACAGCCACCCGAATTCGACGCTCCGTCATCCTGACATTCGAATTGAAATGCAAATTCTGACGAATGTGCGCACGTTGTGCGCCTAGGGTCGGTTCTGCGAGGCGGCGAGGCTGCGAGGCTGTGAGACTGAGAGGATATCGACGCTGCTCCTCACTACGGCTCGACTCGACAATCAACGACTTTCGATGGTAAATGAGCCAGTCTACCCAGGAGCGTTACAATCGGAAATACACATGTGCTCATACGCCCAAAATCGCATATCCAGCACATTTACATATCTGCTTATATACAAGCTGTGTAAATAGGTGTGCGTCTGCCTATGCGACTGTGTGTGGGTGTGTGTGTGAGTGGGTGGGTGGGTGGCTGTGTGTGTTTACAGTTGATGCTTTAATATTTAACCTATGATACGGCTCTTTTACTATCATATAATCTACTATATTCACATGTATTTGAGTTGCGCTTGTCAATCTATGTGTAAGTGCATCAGGCAGCATCATTTATGACGATTTCATTGATGACTCTATCTATACCCTAAGGGGAAAAATATTTTGCATGCTATTAAGTATACGTATTTTAGCTTAAATTATGAATTTTTCGATTTAATTGAATATACGAAGTATTTCTTTTTAACAACTGCAACTAGGAGGTAGATCTATATGATGATATTTTATAATAATCAACTGATATCTTCACTATGAAGTACTCTTTGTAAGTATATCTATGAAATACTATAAAGAATCATTTATAGACATATTAAGGCAGCAAAGGGCAACAGACTCGTTCGCTGATGTCTCTCGTCTAACTATAATCTTTTCAATTACATCCCTTATGGGCTAGCTCACTTCTAATTTAGATTTAAAGATACTCAGCGAACATTTTAAATGGAGTGGAAATTGTTAGTCGGCTGCAGCCTTCAGAATGTTAGACAATAGATTTACAGGGTGCTTCATCGTAGGTCCAATGGGAGTGGGCATAGTGATACATGCTGGCATGCATAAGCATGTGCACGTGTGTGTGTTGGTGTATATATATGTACATAGCTGCTGCTGCACATACATAGTAATCACATTTAGTCAAGTGTGTCCATTCGAAGGCTTGCGGCTGGGCATTCTCTTAAAAGCAAGCAGGACATCGTACTTACTCACACACACACACACATGCACACCCATGCACAATAGCATAAACATATTTATGTGTACATGTGGGGTCAACTCGTATGTAAATGCTGCTTATAGACAGCATTAACAAGTTCACTTCATGCGCACGTCTGTCTGTCCCGCTGTCCCGTTGTCCCGCTGTCTCGCTGTCTGTCGCTGTGTGTGCAAATTCCTTTATTGTACATAAAATGGAGAACGCTCTCACCTCCCACTCACTCACACACACACTCGGTCTCTCTCTCTCTCCCTCTCGCTCTTCCTCTGTCGCCGTCTCTGTCTGTCACGACACTCAGCTGCCATGTTACCGTTTTCGTCCGCAACGCTTCCAGCTATACACGGCTATAACTGTATCCCTTTCGAAGTCGACGACATTGCTGATGCCCTGTAGGAAATGAGCGTTGACTCCTGGAGTCAGCCTAAAAGTAGACTACAATGCATGCAAGTTCTTAATTGAATTGAAATGGGCAATATTTAACACTACGGCGTATACTTTCCGCCTAGTGTAAGTTTCAATTTTCATTTATAAATATTTAATAATGGAATTTTAGATTTAAAGATTCGCTACTGTGACGCTCTGTCAACAGGGTTGTTTTTCATGTGAGCTTTTTTGTTGGTTGTTAGTCGGTCTGTATGCACACACACACACACACACACACACACACACGTACATGTTGGTGAGTTACTGTCGTTGGGTCTCGACGGTCCAGTCCAGGCGGCAGTGCAGGCAGGCGAAATAAGTTGTTCAAGTGGCAGCTTAATTCGCATAAAATGAAAACACGCTGTCTACATTGTTCCTACAACTTTTCCCCGAGTTTTTATGGCACTTAAAATGGCTGCTAGACAAAGGGTTACGGCCAAGCGGTTGCTGTAAAATCTATTGCAATTGCGCCTTGGCCTTCCACTTCCGCTGAGCAGAAAACTCGAGTCTTGTTCTGCGGCTTTTACAAAATAATTACAAACTATTCATTAAGCATATACCACACTAAATAGTCCCTATGTACTTGAATGCTCTATGGGAGCTCTATATATATATCCTAAGTTCATCTACTTTATCACTAAAGACTAAATATGAAGATGTACATATATCCTTGCGCTCTTTGGCACTCGCTTTGTAGGTGCATAAATTGACGTTAATTTATGTGCAACAATTAAACTTGAAATAATTGTTGATATTCCCTCAAACAAATGGGAGCAGACGAAATTAAGACATTATAGAGGAATTTAATATAAACAATGTTGCTGCATACTTGCGGTATTTTATAATAATCCAAATGCCAACCGAACGGACGTGCCAAGTGGCTGACCAACTTAATGGCACGGCCAGCACGAAAGCCTGAACAGGCCTAGGTGTATGTACATACATATGTATAAAAATATGTATATATAACAAGTCAGAAGTAGTAGCAGCAGCAGCAGAAGAAGAAAATGTAATTCTAGTAGCTCAACTGAGGCAGGTGGCATTGTTGATGTACAGCAACAAATACATATATCTAGATGTCATCGAGTGTTATTGAGGGCAACGCTGAGAAAGTGGCGAATTGGCCTAATTGAGTTATAGCCATAAATGGAAATTGGTTAAATGAGATATTGCCAAAATATATATATATATATAAATGAAGGGAACTATACAAAATTTTTATGACAATTGTGGACTGAATTGACTCTTAATCAGTGGGACATATCATGTTTTCCATTTCATCACACTCTAAAAGAAACTTATCTATATATGTATATCATATTTTGTGTATTTATATTGAAGAGTATTCAGCATAAATCTATTTTATAATAAATAAAATTTGTTATAAGTATTTTTAGAAATATTTGTTGCTATTAAATATTAAATCTGTGATTAAGATTAACTATTATTTTACCTCGATATTCCAAAGTCTGCATAAACAGACAGATAAATAGTTGAATAAACTGAGCAAGACTTAAGCCAATATGCCCTTTCCACATCATGAAGCAGTATAAATAATATCCTTGCTTTTGCACGCTTTCTCACTCAGCGTAACAATCTCTATCAATAACATTCGAATGCAGTTGAGTTTTTCTATGTAAATTAGCCAAGTGCAGTAAACAAATTATTGAAATTATGAATATCCATGTTAGCAAACAGTAACAAGAGTGCTGAAACAGTAGGAAATACAATGTTGTATTTCGCCCACCATTAACAATAGCTCAGATTGAAGAGATATGTGTATGAATATATATATATTAATATATATTTCTTCACATTTATTTGCAGAGTTAATAAGAAATGTGCGTGTAGTCTAGTTGGCTGCAAAAATTAATTGAAGAATTTCACAGCACATAACGCTACCTTGCCAGCGAGCAAAAAATACAAAAAAATATAAAGTATATATACAGCACACACAATGTCAGCTAATCACGGAACGGAGTTGCATGTTTTGCCACTAACATATTCAGATATGCACATGAATATTCAATGAGTGCGTTTTTGCGAGAGAGCGAAAAACTCAAAATCATTTTCAAATGCACTGCGATGGATTGAATGAGTGCAGAAAGTAAAATGCGAATACATATCATATTTATACACATATATTTATGTAAAGAAATATAATAAGACTACTGACGAGGCATAGCCTAAATAGACGTAAGATATACAATCTGTTAATAAAGTATGAACAAATGCTAATAAATCATACATCAAAATTCATTGCAAGACTCGAGACTTTGATGTTCTGCGAAAGCCCATTAAAATATAGGTACGCAGTTTATAATAAAACTAAGTAAGTTTAGAGAGCGGAAGATGAGAAATGGGTTTTATATTAAGAGGCAGAAAGGAACAGTTATCTATGCAGATTTTAACCATTTGCAGTTTATCATAAATGAACTTAGATACTTAAGAAGAGGGCCTCGATTCCACCGAATAGCTTACTTATACTAAAATAATATACACATAGAGATAATTCATTATCAATAAATCAACAAATCATAGTCACATCATAGCTCATTTGTTTGTTAACTGCTTGAGCACACCTCGCACAGCCGAAACTCTGGCCATAAAACTATTTAAATGCACTTAAAACCACATTTTGCTCTTCATATTTTATTATAACCACTCAGATGTTAAAACAATTATTCCCTAAACACCCTTTAGTCCGACGTATATGCACACATATGTATATAAATTTGCTCTATAACTAGGGCCAGCGTTACGTTTCGCTGATTTCCCCACAGCCGTCCGTGTAAGCCATCAGAATTTAGCGGTTAAATTATGCATAAATGAATAATTAAATTTTGTAATGGTGCAAATTGCGAATTGAATTGTTTTCGCTATTCCACACTTGCTGAACTTTGCATAGCCTCAAACATTTCGGGAGATAGTTCCGTTGGGCTTAGAGAGAGTAAAGCTGTATAGTTTGTATATAAGGAATATAAATTAAAGACGAAATTCTTTGCAAATGACAAAATGTCTCTTTATAAAAGTAGCTCCTGACTAAGATATACCCTGTAAATAAGGACTAGTTGAATCGAATTTCTCTTATTCCCTAGAGACTAAACTATTTTCTATTTTTTAGTACTCCTTTAAAACTTCAACCCAGTATTTTTCTTTTGTTTTTAAGTTTAATGTAAATATGTGAAGCTAGAGAATTGGCGTTCGGCATGCGCTTCACACATATTTAGCCATAAGTTTTATTACCATCGTGAATATAGATATTCCTATGTATGTATAAATAATAGCATGCAAATGGGGTAATGCTGGACATGTGTGCGCTTTAGCGGCAACTGGTTCTCTGGGAGGGTGGCGGGGCAAGCGGTGAGCGGCGGTTGCAGCTACAAAGTATATCAAGATGCAACAATATTTCCGCTGAGTGGAGTCGCGCTAGTACGAGACTCGGCTAAGTTGGCCTAATTAAAAATTCCTATGGGGCAATTGCAAAATTGGTTTCTTATCTTTCCTTTATTATCGGCGCCACGAAACGCCTAAACATGATGCGCTGATGGATAGCTGCCTCGGCGAGGGGCGGGTGTTGCAACATTTGACCGCATGCTCAACGGGGCCGACTAGAGAGAGAGAGAGAGAGAGGGGGAGGGAGAGGGAGGCAGGGGTAAAGGCAAAAAGAAAAACCTGCTGCTGCATTTATGAATAATATTATTTACAGCATGATAATTTTCTGTTTCGGCTTTGCGCTCCTTGCAATCGCTTCTTACCATGCTGTTAATGCCTGCCAAAGCGACGAAGCCGTTTTGTGAAGTATTTTCTGTTTATGGCCCGAGTCACGCGATATTAAGTACTCACTTGCACTAGCTGCGTGCGCTCTTTCATCGGGCTCAGAGCATTGCATTTACGCCCGTACCCAAAACTCACTTAAAGCCAGCTAAAAAGCTTTTGTCAACTGCCATCTGAACCTTATACTGATTAAAGCACTTATATAGATTTAAATGAAATAAAGGTTAAAATTTAACTTGTAGGCAAATACTAGAGAGATAATTGAATTATGCGAATGTATTTTACTAAATAATTATACCGGTTAATATAACATTGTATTCTCGGCAATAATTAGAGTTCACATTTCGAATCAGACTGCAATTAATATATATATTTTCTCTACAAGCTATACATACTATATATTCAGACAATTCAGACAAGTCTTAGAATGGGGTCAATTAGTATTAGTAAAATACTATTTTTAAGCAAACATTTCATTTATTCGTCACATTTAAACGATTTTACTGCAAAGTAGTATACCCTATAATAAAAATAAAAAAATCTATCAAATAATAAAGCTACTTAAAACTAAACAATTTCCAAGATTAAGAAAATATATATATAATTTATAATAAAATAAAAACCAAATAAACTTTCAATTTATTTAATAATAAATAATCAAATAATGCCAAATAAATATTTAAGCTGTTTATCAACTAAAATCACTCAAATATAGTTAATATAATCAAATCAAAACAAACATAAAAGTTATAAAAACATGTATGAATGAATTTCAACAAAACCGCTTTCAACTACAGGGCATCACCTAGTCGACTACTCGCACTTCCAGCTTCGCAGCTTTAGAATTGATTTTTGAACTAAAGCCAAAAAAGCAAAAGCTTTTCACACTTTTAAGGCGGAATACGAGCACACAATTTGAGTGCATATCCGAATAGCCTAAATCTTATTATTATTATAATAATTATTATAATTGTGTTGTTTGCCATGTGACACGGAGCAGTTGGAAGTTTGTGGCGCGCTTTCGCCCGGCACCCCGTCAAGGACAAACTTTTTGAAAGTCAAACGCTGTTCCTTCACATGGCTCAGCGGCACTTTTTGATTTACTTACCCGCGGATCACTTGAGGCAGTCGTCGTTGGAGTTGACCCACCGTCCGATGGCACCACCCAGCCCAGCCCAGCCAGAGTCGATGGCACCGTTAGCCGCACAGCTCCGTCGCGCCGAGCTGCGTTGTGTCGTGTCACGACTGACTCGTGCCTGGCACATCGCACACGATTCGCATCGATTTGCGCGCGCCCACTCTCGCCCATGATGTGCGCAATGCCGTGTTCGAGCGCATACTAGTTGCGTTCCAAGTTGTGCTTGACGCCGGCGGCCGCTCCGAGTCGGGCCGAGGGGTTGTGCATTCGGCGCATGCGCATTGCCGGCGCCGGGCCACTCACTGTCGAAACTGGTTTCCTCTCTGAGTGCGAGCGGGACGGATGCATGCGATAAAATGATGGCAGCACTGCTCTTTCCAGCTGCCGTTGCTGCTGCTTCTGCTGCTGCTGCTGCCGTTGCCGTTGCTGCAAGTGTGTGACGTGTGTGGGGCCCCCAATTGGAATTGCAGGCGTGGAGGGGAAATTGCTCCGCCCATTGAAAAGCTGCCAATTTTCGTATCAGCCGGCGTATTTTTAAGTTCTCAACTTTGCCATGTAGTTGTAGGGTTTTAATTAGTACATTCAAATAACGCGAATGAAAGGAATGAACCCACACACCAGCCGAAAGTAGGTATGTAGTTCGCCAAGCACGGGAGCAGCACTCAGTACACAGTAACAGGTAAGCAATAAAATTACACTAAGATCACTTGATTTATAATTATAGCTGAGGCCAAAAGTATTTTAGGTCTACTTCTAGTCTAAGTTGGGATTGCGTGTATTTAGTTCGGACTTTGTTATAAATTGTGATCAGAACTGGAAAAAGTCTGCAAAGAAAGTTTGACATTAGACAAAAAACTTAAGCAAAGCTCAAGTTTATATAAAATCCTAACAACAATTTGGGTAAGTCTCTCTATAGAGCTAGGATAACTAAGCCTGCTATCAGGCAGCGAGGTGTCTTACCATGTAAACAGAACTAATGCATGCCTTTAGCAGTTGTCTTGGAATGTGAACACAAATTTTGAAGATCTAACACGAGTCAGAGTCAAAGGGAAAATGTTCAATTCGAAATATTATCAGATCAACATAGTCTTCTACCTGCCTGTGCAGGACTCTCGTTTTGTACATTATCGCTCCAATGTGCGCAGAGCACACACACTCGACATATGTGTACATATGTACTTGCCTATGCATGTGTGTGTGTGTGTGTGTGTGTGTGTGTGTGTGGAACATCTATAGCTATAGCCAAAGGCCTGCACATGAGCCTACTATGTCCGTCCACGTCTATAGACTCTGAACATGAGCTAATCAGCAGAACTCAAACAGCGTACCCCGGGCACCCCGGCCACCCCGGCCAACGGTGCTGGGCTGGCAGCCACCTCGCCGTGCTGCCTGGACTGTCGAAAATTGCGTCCATGTCATGCATTCGCATCCATTCATTACCCACTAGTAGCTGAGTGGCCGGACAACAGCGTTTGGCGTTTTGGAACCCTGCAAATATGCCGTGTTCGCATGTTATCCCAAATGTTCGGAGTGCCCAAATGCACCCGCTGCACATTAGCCGGCCGAGAAAGAGTGAGAGAGAGAGAGAGGGAGAGAGAGAGATCTGGACGCTGGTCACTGGTCACTGGGAGTTGGGCTTTCTGTACTTTATTTTGCCGAACGAGCAAACATCTTGTCCGACTAGGAAACAAATGGCTTTGCTGGTTTCAACATTCAGCTGCTCCTTTTTTGCATGCCCGTCTTCCTTTTTTTTTTTTTGGTTTTTTTGTGCACTTTTTTTCGGTGTTGTTACGGGCTGACTTGGCCGTCCGCACACAGTGCTTCACAAAATCCTTCTATATGCATGTTTACACAGCATCCTATCCCTTCAAGTATTTCAAAAATGTTCCACGATGCACAAATGTTGTTTTACCAAATGCAAAAATACTTTGCTTTAACGTGTTAAGAGAGCACGACTTTCCCGACGAAATCAGCTTTAATGCAAATTAGTTTTTGCTTTTAAATAATATTCATTGAAACGTAAAAGAGGAGACTCTGAGAAGGTATATAAAATGAATATAATATAATATTATATATTTTATTAAGAGACATATGAAAGGGCTATATAATCTGAATATACACAAGGAAGTGATGTCAATAATATAATAAATAGTATATTATTAGTACAAAATTTTATAAATATGAAAGTCTAGTTAGTTAAGAGAGAGGCGCTCATATTTATATGATAAAAATAAAGATGGACTAAGTTAAGTATTAACAAATGCATGATTTATTAGTAAAAGGTAAACATTTAACTATTTATGTATGTGCTGTACAATGGAATAAAGTCTTATATATTATATACATTTATGAAAAATATTAAGTTGCTTTATTACCCTATATAATACACTAAAAATGCTTAAGCAGTAAGGGTGTTTTTTGTATGAACTCTCATTTTGATTATATCCATTAATGTACCATAATTAAATGCAATTTATTAAGATTGCTTTGTATATAGTCTGATTATCAAGCATTGAAACACAAGTTTACAGAATTCGTGCTTGGGCTATATAGAATGTTGAGGAGCTTCTAATCGTCATAAATAATACATAACCTCTGCAAAATATCTTCATAGCTAACATAAGCAAGCTAGCCTCCTTGCAGCTTGTGTTGATCAGCTTCGATCTATACCCCATAGAATTTGAATATGTCTCAGACACAAAGGTACTACGAGTGCATATACTTATCACTTATCTAAGTACACTGCAACGCTGTCATAACCTTCGAAAGGCCATTGCATATCTCACAGCCAAGTCTTGCATGGGCTAAGCACACCGGACAACCCATCATAGGCCACTCAGTTACATAATCAGCATTCGTAGCCTGAAACGATCAAGCGAATGAGCCCTAAGTCCACAAAATGAATAAAACGAAACAAAACAAAAGCCAAACTGAGGGAAACATGAGCCAAATAAAAAACCCATTTGCACACAAATTTACTCCCAAAATGGCCAAGGAGCGCATCATTCAAGTTGGACTGCGCTTGGACTCTCCGCTGGCCACTCGGAGCTGGTTGGCATTTGGTAACTGGACACCGGATGCAGATAAATCTTTGGGCTGCCGCCGCCAACAGCAACAGAAAGCAAAACAAGCTGAAAGCTCTGGCAAGACAAGTGCGAGTGCGTTTGCATGCGCACGAGGACCTCAGTCTGAGAGTTAAAGCTCGATCGGAATCATGCGATAAGCAGGCTGCCCAGTCGCCACTCGTCCCTGCGCCTCCTCTCCTCCGGCAATTCCCCAAATGCCATTTGGGACTCGTTGACAAACTTAATTGCGCCTATTCCTGCATTAATTGTACACACACGCGCGATTGGGCGCACGATTTGCATGGCGTCTGTGTCCAGCTGCAGCGCCTGCAACTGGTCTGGCTTGAGATTTTTGTGCTTCATATAGGGCGGTACGTGCTACCCAACTAGCCGGCGGAATGTGTTAATTAAATATTTAAATTATTTCCATCATTAATGGAGGATCGCCAATTGGTGAATATAAAGTATATATATACGGGTCGAGCTGGTGTTTGCCTCCAGTGCGTCTAGACTATTTGTGGCAGCAACAGCAACAGCAGCAGCAGCAGCAGCAGCAGCAGCAGCAGCTGCAGCCACAGCTACATTGGTTTAAGCCCCCGCCATGTCAGAGTCACAGTCGGAGACGGAGTCCGAGTGCGCTCTGCCTTGTTCGATCTGCGTTTGTATTTGGTTTCTTGTTTTTTTTTCGCTCTTTATTTATTTTTGCTGTTAAGTTTTTTTATTTTTTGCATTTGATGTTGGGGCAGCGTGAAATGAAAAATGGCGACACGCGTCCTTTGGGCAAAAAACCACAAAACAATTTTATTTTATTTCCACACACAGCAGCAGCAGCAGCGGCAGCGGCAGCGGCAGCGTGGACAATAATTTAACGGCCAACGTGTCCTTGCGCCAGGACAATGAATTTAAATAAAATTAATTAAATTTGTTTTTCGATGGGAATTGGAGTTGGCCACGCAAATTGAAAACTGTCGAACGAACATTTCGACCAATGTACAATTGGCCCTTCATCTGCAACGCTTTTTTTGTTTGTTTGCCCCTCCCCCCTTCCCTGCCAGAACAGTTGGAATTCCCACCGCAAGGATAACAACGACAACAACAGAGCCATAAACTTGTACGCTATCAATATACATTTGAGCATAGATAAATTAGAGAACGCTTGCGCCTACAGCCTACATTTCAGATACAAATTAGAACCGCGTGGCCAATAGAGCGCCGGCTATCAGCGCAGCCATTCAAACGCCCATCACACACACACACACACCCGCACACACACACTCGCACACACGCATATACAACCGCGAGTGTACGCAAAACATAACCATGCCCGAGCAACGTCCTCCATGGTGTAACGTGCGCCGGGGGCAGCTTCTGCTGCGGCCCGCTCTCGAATGAGTTATAGCGCTTGTTGGCGATTTTATTGCCACAGCGCAGCCATAAAATATGGTAAATTATAGCGGTTTGTTGTTTTGGCCATTTTGTAGCCAAATAATGTACCACGTGTGCGTCCGGACCCTGTGGACCTGTTTCGGATACGGATTGCCAGCCCAAAAGACCACTATTCGCCATCCACTAGCCTCCGCCTGCCCAACTGCGGTCGTGTTAAAAACTCTGTCTGTTTTCCCTTTTTTGTTTTTTGTTAGTTTGTTCTTTTCTGTATACAAAACAAAAAATTACTTTACATTTTTAGAGAACTATTTACAAGTGCAAATATGTGGGCATGTAAATATTTTATACTATACAATACATCCTATTCAGGTGAATTTTCTGCTTAAAGATTGTAGTTGATAGTGAGCTGACTGTTTAAGACTTGAACTGAGTGTGTAAATGCTTGAGAAATTTATCATAATGATATATTATTATATGCTATATACAATATTCTTAGATACATGTATAGAGTGTATAGTGTGGCCTATCACTACTCTTTTTGCTACTCAGCTCAGTATTGCTGAATTTCAGCTGAGATTGCCTCTAGACTAAGCAGGAATACCTTTAAATATGGTTCTACTTGAAATAGGGAATAAAAATAATATAATATTTTTAAAAAATATTTAATAAAAACACAAAAAGTCTCAGTTTTTTTGTATAAACTCATGCATTGTCTATACTATATATCTATATATTTATAGCCCTTTACCAAGCCTCAGTT